ATTGTTTAAAGTTAGAATTCAACAACAGGACTAATTGCAGAAATCCTACAAACTTGTGGAAATTGAACAATGCTCAATTGAATTACCTCTGGCTCAATGAAAAAAATAAAGAAAGAAATTAAAGACTTCCTAGAATTCAATGAAAATAAATACACAACGTATTTAAACCTATGAGACACTATAAAAACAGTGTTAAGAGCAAAGTTCATAGCACTAAGTGCCTACATAAAGCAAATGGAGAAATCCCACACATGACTTAACGGGACACCTGAAATCTATAGAACAAAAAGAAGCAGATTACCCAGGAGGAGTAGATGACAGGATGTAATCAAATTGAGGGCTGAAATCAATAAGATAGTAACAAAGAGAACAATATAAAAAGAATCAATGAAACAGAGAGCGGGTTCTTCTAGAAATCAACAAGATAGACAAAGCTTTATCCAAACTAACCAAAAGGTAGAGCAAGAATATGCAAATTAATAAAATCAGAAATGAAAGGGGGCATAACAACAGACAATGAGGAAATCCAGAGAATCATTAGATCATACTTTGAAAACCTGTACTCTACAAAATTGGAAACTCTTAAAGAAACGGACAGTTTTCTGGGTAGGTACCACATACCGAAATTAAATCAAGACCAGATAAATAATTTAAATAGACCTATAAGACCTAAGTAAACAGAAGCAGTCATCAAAAGTATCACCACTCTCTCTAAAAACAAAACAAACAAACAAAACAAAACAAACAAACAAAAAAAAAAACAAGCCTGGGCCAGATGGTTTCAGCACAGAATTCTACCACAACTCCAAAGAAGAGCTAATATCTATATTCCTCAAATTATTCCACACAACAGAAACAAAAGGAACATTGCTAAACTATTTTTATGGGGCTACATTTACCTTGATACTCAAACCACACAAAGACTCAACAAAATAGAGAATTACAGACCAATATCCCCCATGAACATCGATGTAAAAATACACAATAAAATACTAGCAAACTGAATCCAAGAACACAGAAATATCATCCACCACGATCAAGTAGGTTTCATCCTAGAGATGTAGGGATGGCTTACCATTTGAAAATCTGTCAGTGTAATTCACCATATAAACAAACTGGAAAAAAAACCACATGATCATCTCATTAGATCCTGAAAAGGCCTTTGACAAAATCCAACCTCCCTTCATGATAAAGGTCTTGGAGACACCAGAGGTACAAGAAACATACTTAAACATAATAAAGGTAATATACAGCAAGTCAACAGTCAACACCAAACTAAATGGAGAGAAACTCAATGTGATTCCTCCAAAGTCAGTAACAAGACAAGGCTATCCACTCTCTCCGTATCTATTCAATATAGTGCTTGGAGTTCTAGCTAGAATGATAAGAGAACAAACAGTGATCAAGGGCTTACAATTTGGAAAGGAAATTTCACTATTTGTAGATGATATGATAGTTTACATAAGTGACCCCAAAAATCTACCAGGGAACTCCTACAGCTGATAAACACGATCAGTAATGTGTCAGGATACAAGACCAACTTTTAGAACAGTCAGGAGCCCTCCTGTATACAAATGATAAAAGGCTGAGAAAGAAACCAGAGAAATATCACCCTTTACAATAGCTACAAATAATATAAAATAACATGGGGTGATGCTAACCAAAGAAGTGAAAAACCTGTATGACAAGAATTTTAAATCTTTGAAGAAAGAAATTGAAGAGTATATCAGAAAATGGAAAGATCTCCCATGCTCTTGGATAGATAGAATCAACACAATATAAATGGGAAATCTTGTGGCAAGCAATCTACAGATTCAATGCAAACCCCATCATAATCCCAGCACAATTCTTCATAGACTTCCACAGAACAATACTCAAGTTTGTAAGGAAAAACAAAAACCAGAAGATTCAAAACAACCCTGTACAATAAAGGAAAGTCCAGAGGCCTCATCATCCCTGACTCCAAGCTCTACTATAGAACTATCATAAAGAAAACAGCTTGGTATTGGCACGAAAACAGACAGGTGGACCAATGGAATCATATCAAAGACCCTAATATTAATCCACTCACCTATGAAAACCTGATTTTTGACAAAGAAGCTAAAATGGAAAAAAGAAAGCATCTTCAACAAATGGTGCTGGCATAGTTAGATGCTGACATGTAGAAGGTTGCAGATAGATTCATATCAACTGCAATGCACAAAACTTAAGTCCAAATGGATCACAGACCTTAGCATAAATCCAACCACACTGAATGTCACAGAAGAGAAAGTTGAAAGTACCCTTGAATGCATGAACACAGAAGACCACTTCCTAAATATAACACCAGTAGCACAGATACTGAGAGCAACAATTAATAAATGGGACCTTCTGAAACTGAGAAATATCTGTAGGACAAAGATCACAATCAATAAAACAAAAAGACAGCCTACAGCATGGGAAAAAATCTTCAACAATCCCACATAGGACAGAGGACTGATCTCCAAATCAAAATGCTGAGATAGCTTATGCTGTAGAAGATTTGGAGTAAGGGGGATACTCCTCCATTGCTGGTGAGAGTGCAAACTTGTACAGTCAAGTTAGAAATCATCAATATGGCTGTTTCTCAGTAAATTGGTAATCAATCTACTTCAAGACCCAGCAATACTACTCTTAGGTATATACCCAAAGGATGCATACTCCTACCACAAAGACATTAGCTCAACTGTGTTCATAGCAGCATTATTCATAACAGCCAGAAACTGAAAACAACCTAGATGCCCATCAACTGAATAATATATAAAGAAAATGTGATACATTTACACAATGGAGTAGTACTCGGTGGTTAAAAAAATGACATCTTGAAATTTGCAGGCAAATGGATGGAACTGGGGAAAAACAAAACATCCTGAGTGAGGTAACCCAGACCCAGGAAGACAAACACTGTATGTACTCATTTATAAGTGAATTACTAGATGTAAAGGAAAGAAGAACCAGTCTATAATCCATGACCCCAGAGAAGCTAGGTAACAAGGAGAATCTTAAGAGAGACACATGGATCTCCCTGGGAAGTGGAAATAAACAAGATCTCCTGAGAAAATTGGGAGAGTGGAGGGGAGACAGGAGGACAGAAGAGGAGGAAGAGGGGAGAAGGGGAGGGGAAGAGGACAGGGGGCAGGGGAACATGAGGGAATGGGATGGTTGAGATGGGAGAAGGACAGAGAAGGAGAACAAGGAAAGAGATATCTTGATTGAGGGAGTCATTATGGGGCTATCAAGAAACCTGGCACTTGGAAAATTTCCAGGAATCCAAAAAGATGACCCCAGCTAAGACCCTAAACATTAGTGGAGGGGGTGCCTGAACTGGCCTTCCCCTCTAATCAGATTGATGACTACCTTAATTGTCATCATAGAACCTTCATGTAGCAACTGATGGAAGCAGATGCAGAGATCTGCAGCTAACCACTGGGCAGAACTCCCGGTGTCTAGTTGAAGAGAGGCAGGAGTGATAATAAGAGCAAAGGGGGCAAGACCATTTTGGGGATACTCACAGATACAGCTGACCTGAGCTAGTGGGAGCTCACTGACTCTGGACTGACAGCAGGGGAACCTGCATAGGAGCAAACTAGGCCCTGTCAATGTGACTGACAGTTGTGTGACTTGGGCAGTCTGTGGGGCCACTGGCAGTGGGACCAGGATTTATTCCTATGCTTGAATTGGCTTTTTTGAGTTCATTCTCTTTGGAGGATATCTTGCCCAGCCTAGATATGGGGAGGGCCTTGGTCCTGCTTCAAAGAAATGTGCCAGACTTTGTTGACTCCCCAGGGTAAGCCTTATCCTCTCTGTGGATTGGAGGGGGGAGGGTAGGGGAAAGGTGAAGAGAGGAGGAAGGGAAGGAGTGGGAACTGGATTGGTGTGTAAAATGAGAAAAGAATGTTCTAAAAAGAAAAAAAATGATTAACAACAACAACAAAAAGAACAAGCCTAATTGGGCAAAGAGGCATATCACTGTATCTTCAAGTTAGCTCAGAAGATACGTGAGCCTAGCCAACAACAGCCAGGCAACTCAGAACCGCTCTCACGAGTAGAGAAGGGGGCTTCCCTAAAGATTGCTACCTAACAATTGTAGGCAAGAAGATTGGTAGAGGGGCTAAGATTCCAAAGACCACTCTACCATCAGCTCAAGCTGGGCAAAGCCAGCCCGACACAGGAGCTCAGACGACTACTAGCTACTTCCTCTTTCTCCACCTCTTGCTTTTCATTCTGAAAACAGAAGGGCTTGAGCAATTTGGTCAGTTGAGAGTCACAAAACCATTTCCACCCCCTCACTCCATTCAACAAAATCCTAGATAGGGAAAAAACAAAACAAAACAAAACAAAACAAAACAAAACAAAACAAAAACCCTAATGCACCCAACCTGCAAATATGCACTACAAGTGAAATCATCTGTCAAATAGGCAGACCAGAAACCAAACAAAACCGAGAAGATAGAAAGGTAGAGTTCGGAAACAGAACAGAAGTTCTCAAACAACTCAAGTGGCTGGGGTTCACGAGTAACGTTTTTCCACAGGAGACAAAATTGCAAGCAACTGGACCAAAGGTTTAAAGAAGGAAAACAAGGGGAAGAGAATTACACTCGGTAGAAGAAGAAGTTAGCCTGTCGGTCAACCCTTTCTGGCCCGTGCTAGGTTCTATTTTAATCACTTGGTATTACAAAACTCAGTAATCTGGCCAGACTCCTCAGCTTCAGGGTCTGGCCAGAGGCGGTTAAGGACAGAGGCCCTCCTCCCTCCTAATGGTGCCCAACCCCACCCGGCCCTATCTCTAACTTTCTCAGGCCACCTTTCCTTCTACCCCACCCAGCTCTTCCCACCTCGTCCGGCCTCACCTAGCCACACCCTGCCCCGCCTCTCCTCCCCCTTCCTCGCAGCTGCACTGCTCCTCCCCCACCCCATAAGGTTCTCAGCGCCCTGTAACCCCGCCCCCCGGGTTTAGGGTTTCCGGGCTCTTGGGTATTTTAAGGCAAGAGCCACTAGGGTCGCCTGACTCCCATCGCGCGCCCTGCCCCAGTTCTCGCTTTCACTGCCGTCTGCTCCCCGGGCGCCATCAGCCATGGGTCTCTGGACCTACTTGGCACGCGCCGCCCTGTTGTTGGTGTTCCTGGGAGCCTGCACAGTGCGCTCCGACACACCTGCCAACTGCACCTACCCTGACCTGCTGGGCACCTGGGTCTTCCAGGTGGGCCCCAGACGCCCCCGAAGCGACCTTAACTGTTCGGTGCTGGGTAAGCCGCGTCCCGGGGATCCCTGAGTTCTCCTTTTCTGACCCTGAGTCCCTGCCTCGTGGGCGCTTGTAGGTGACTGGGGACTTAAGAACATGCGACCGGTCCCTTGGTGGATCAGAGCCAGAGCCAGAGCTAGGGCCGCCAAGGTGAAGTTGAGCTGCTGAGAACTTCACACTTACCTTCTTGATATTCTCACAGCTTGTATTTTCAAGAAAGCGTCCGTCCCACTGCTTTCCAATTGTTTTAGTTGCTTTGATTTCTTAGAAGAGAGTGGAGCAGTGCTTTCATGAGCTTCCACTTCAGTCTGGCACGCTCTTGTTTTTAAAAATCCTTTGAACTCAGACTGTAGAACGCAGCAAGTTGTTGTTAGGGTTTTGTTGTTGTTATTGCTGTTTGTTTGTTCTCTTTTGTTTGTTTTTTAGGGGGGTAGATGAGGTTGTGTCGGCGGCGCCCCCCCCCGCGTGTCTCACCCCCTCCCCGCACCGGGAGGTTGTGGAACAGGACCATTTCTCAGATAATTTCAAACTGGACCTCTGTCACCTGCTAATTTCCTGCACACACCCAAAAAAGGCTCATTTAATTAATTGCAGGCGACTAGGTTTTGGTCAATCCTGGCCTGTGTCTACCATTGTTTCTTTTCTAAATTTGAGCATTGAGATGAGACAGAAGGGAGAAAGGTTTTGCAATGACTTATCACAGGCAGTCTTCCATCTAGGGTGTTTGTTCTGAAAGAAGGAGAGACGAAAGTGTAGGATTCTGAGGATGGATATAGCTGATTGCTTTCTGGAAGTCCCTACCTATAAACCTCCCTCTGATTCTAACTCAACAATTGAAGGAGCACAAAGATCTGACCCCTGATCTTATGAAAATTAAACATTACTACCTATCAACTCAAATTAGTTTTATGTATTAGAAGCCTTTGGAAGGAGTCAGACTGCGTTGTTAATTTTTGCAGGTGTTGAGGAGAGAGTTACCTCATCTCTTTGAACAGATTACTTTCTGTCTTAATATGCTCAACGCATCTTTATGACTTGAACGCTGGTCCTTTTATAGTCTTTCCTCTTTAATCAGTACTTTTTGTCGTTCCCCCATTACTTTCTGTAATTTTGAATAGTGTCCTCCCCATTCTTTACTAGGTCAAAATTCTTCCACTGAGTTACACCACCTAGGCACACTTTATCATTTATTTATTTATTCATTTGCTTTTCAAGACAGGGTCTCTCTATGTAGTACTGGCTGTGGACCAGGCCTGCCTTTGGCCTCCCAGATGAGCACTGGGATTAAAAGTGGAGAGCACCACCACCGCCTGGCAATTTTTTTTGTGTATGTATGTGTGTGTTTGCATTGCTGTTTTGCCTGTATGTTTGTATAAGGGTGTCAGGTACCCTGGAAGTAGAATTACAGACTGTTGTGAACTGCCATGTGGGTGCTGGGAATTGAACCTGAGTCCTTCCTGGAAGAGCAGCCAGTACTCTTACCTACTAAGCCATCTCTCCAGCCTCCTCTGCATTCTTTACCAGGAAAATATTTTTTCTCTTTGTTTTTCTTAACCTTTCTTTCTTTTTTCTTTCCTTTTCCTTTTTTGGAGACAGCACCTTTTTATGTAGCCCTGGTTTGCACATAACTGCTGTGTAGACAAGACTGACTTTGAGCTTCCAGAGATCCACCTACCTCTAAATCTGGACTGCTGAGATTAACATACCCAGCTAGAAAAATATTTTAAATGTTTGGTTACATAGTGGTCTCTCTGCCTACTGTGCTACCTGACACCTCACTTCAGAAACCTCACTTCCTAGGCTTTTCCAGACCCCTCCATCACTATACTCAGAGAACAAAATTGAAACTTTGTAAGTCTTCTAGGCAGAGTCTCATCATGTATCCCTGTATTGCCTAGAACTCATTACATAGCTCAGGCTAGTCTCCGAGAAATCTGCCTGCCTCTGTATCCCCAGTGCTGTTTACAATTAAAGGCTTGTGCAGAGACCAATTGTTTCATGAGTCATATTACGAATCTCAGTTAGGCTGCAAGGTGGGAAAGTATCTAAATGTAGAAGTTATTGGGGTGACTGTGCTCCCCTGTGTATTCACTTAACTTTCATGCACTTTATTTTCTTTAGAACCAACAAAGGAAAAAGCAGTGGTTACAGTACACCTTAAGAAGTTGGATACAGCTTATGATGAATTTGGCAATTCTGGACATTTCACCCTCATTTACAACCAAGGCTTCGAGATTGTGTTGAATGACTACAAGTGGTTTGCCTTTTTCAAGGTTAGTTTATGTTTCCAATCATTTCTTACCTAAAATTTCTCCTGATTAGGGACTCCCTGGAGTGTTCCTTTTTAGACTAAGAACATAACTAGATTAGATTCTGTTTACCTAAGACAAGTTGGACATTGTAGAATTGACATTTAAAAATTAAAATTTCAGTTACTTTGTACATTTGAAACTGTAGTCTTTTGTGTTTAAATATATTTTGTATGTATATAAAATATACATGTGTAAGTATGAAAAGAGTTTTATTTCTTTTATTATTATACTTTTCCTTTTAAATGTTCCCTTAGTCACTGATTTTGTGATGACTCTCTATAAGGATAAGATGATAAGTTTCATTTTCTGGAGTTCATGCTATCTTTCTGATCATGGCCTGTGGGCTGTGAGAGAATGGCCTCAAGGACTCATTGGAGTGTTAAAATGTATTACATAGGGCAATGTGAATAATTTATCTGGCTAAAGAGAGCAATAAGATGCATAAAAGTCATTATGCTCTCTGGGCTGAGTAAAGAAACAGGCTATCCTACACAGTTAGAATTTTACTTATCTGACTAGGAAGAACCTTTGTCTGCTTCCACATTCAAACACACTGCTTCCAGGTCCAAGCACTCTCTGGGTTAAAATGGATGGGACTGTCTGGCTTCTATGGCTCCCATGTGTTCCTAAGGAAGAGTTGAAGCTTTTCCTATAGGCCTAATAGTAAACAATTCAAGTCCGTTGAAACTAAAGCAGCTGTTTCTCATTATGCATGGAATACAAATGTATTCATGGATGGTCTTTGCAGCCGCTGGAGCATCTGGTAAGAATATACCATTTATAGAGACTTCTGGGAAACTGGGGAATGCATCTGTTAAAAGTGACAACAGACAGCATAGGAATAGAGGCCTGACCTCTAAGTTTGATTTCTCTTGTGACATGATTTATCATTGGGATATAGTATTCTGAACCAAACATATTTCTTAGGATAACAACTTCCAGAAATACTTTAGTTACAGACTCCTTTTTAATATAAAAATAAATAAAAAATAAAAGGAAGAGATCCAAAAGAATGCTTAATTTCTATCCTGTAACTAGTAAGAATCAGTCTGGGAGTTGTTAGTTAGGAACCCATTTGATTAGTTCAAGCTCATGTGTGACTAGTTGCTAACTATTTTAAATAACAACTCCAAGCACTGTACTAAAATTCATCCTAACAGTAACTGAATCTCATGTTTTAGTTATATGGTGGGTATATTCAATCTGGGCTTAGGTCTCAGGGTGAATTTGAATGGGCCTAGGGTTTTTGTTTGTTTGTTTGTTTGTTTGTTTTGAAATACATCATTTCCCCCTTCTCTTTTCTCCCTCCAAACCCTCTTATATACTTCCTTTCTCTTTTTCAAATTCATGACCTCTATTTACAGACATATATACATGCATGTATGTATGTATGCATGTATGTATACACACCACACACACACACACACACACATTCCTAAGTACATAAGTATAACTTTTCCAGTCTGTCTGACATCATTTGGTGTGCTCTTCCCTGAGGAAGACTTTCTCGCCTTCTCAGAACTCTTCCTTGTCTATCGTTCTTTGTGTGGGGTTGAATGTTAATAGACTTTCCCTAGGCTACTTTAACATCTTCATTGTTATTGTCCTTCTTTGGCTCATGTTCAGGGCCTGGGGTTTTTAGACCTCTTGTGCAGCCACATTCCTTTCAAAGTTCTTTGCCTTCAGATCAAATTTGCCTACAGATTTGACAAACAAATGAACATAAAAGATACTTTGCTTTCATTATGAACCCTGAGAAGTGTCATAATTTACTGTCATTGTGGTTTTCTTCTTCCTCTATCTCTTATTGACACATAAGAAATACTCAGTTTTGTTTGCTCACAAATGAAGAATGAATGCAGTGGATGAACTTGAACTCAGTTTGGAAATAACAAATTATTAAGAAGTTGGGAATGGGATATAAATAGAGGAATACATTATTTATCCACTTGTCTTAGAAAACTAACCATTTATTGGTCCTGCAAAATACTGGTGGGACAACTAGTAAAATCACCGTTTAATTAGGAGAGGCATAATTATCAGAAATAGGCTAGGGTAATTTCTCACAGTATTTATCCTCAGCTGAATAACGAACTGGAGCACACTGTACTTTTTTTTTTTTTCAAATCAGTACAGATAGGTTAAGTATTCTGCCAGAACATGAAAGTATTAATCACAATAGTTCAAAAGAAGTAATTTTAAAGTCAAATAAAAGTAAATGTGTTGTTAAGCTTAGAGGGAGGAGTCAATGTACACATAAGTGACAATTCAGTGATTAGCAGGTTCTCACATACCTCTCTGTATGGTACTAAACAGATGCTTCTTCTCTTGTTAAGTAAGAAGATGGGACAGGTGGTGGACACATGCCTTTTAATCCCAGCACTAGGGAGACAAAGGCAAGTGGATATCTGAGTTCGAGGCTAGCCTGGTTTGCAGAGTAAGTTTCAGGACAGGCTCCAAAGCTACAAAGAAACCCTGTCTGGGAAAAAAAAACAAGTAGGAAGATGGTTCTTACCCTACTAATTTTTTTAAAGTTAGAAACAAGCTTGTTTCACATGTCAATCCCATCTCCCTCTCCCTCCCCTCCTCCCCTGACCTCCCCACCAGGCCCCCCAATCCCCCACCCAATCCCTACTGATTTTTTTTTTATATATGTGGATTTAAAGTGGCCATTTTCCAGAACTGTCAGTAAGGCCATATTGTCTTTCCCTATGGAATAACCAAGCACTGAGGTTAATTAGGTCTGGTGATGAAGATAATACTTTCAACAAGCAGTTAATAAAGTATATACGATTCTCTAAAACATGGTTTAATGTATTCCAGTAGTTCCAGATGAACATAGTTTGCAAAGTTTGTTGCATGGACCTGGTGACCTGAGTTAGAGCCTGGAAGCCACGTAAAGGCAGATAGAGATCCAGAAAGTTGTCTCTGACCTCCACACAGGTAGCATGACGGAATACATCCCTGTCTACTTATACAATAGTAATAAATAATTAAAATGTAAAGCATTTTAATAGTGAACACAGCAGCAATACTGGGGGAAAGTGTTTAAAATTGCAAGAAAAACTAAAAAACTAAAAAAAGTAGAGTTACTATATATATAAGGAGAGACAAGTACTTTGGGTAACTTTGTTAACCCAAAGCTAGTTGGATTTTACCATCAACATTAGGGAATTTTCTAGAGTGCTGCAAAAGCATACTTCGAGAAATGTTTGACTCAACAAAAATAAAACATGTTCACTGAATAAAACACACAGATGTTTTTTTTTCTACTAGCATAGGAAATATCTTGTGAACTACATTTAAAATTTGATCTTTCATTTGTTTTATCTTTTTGAAAGAAGGTCTTGAATTGTCATCCAGGCTAACCTTGAATTTAAAATTTAAAAGCAGTCTCCTAAGTGTGGCCAATAGGCCTGGCTTAAAATGGATAAACAGCATTACATGTACGTAACCCAACTATTACATGAATATCTAATAAACTTTTACTGCACGTGCTTGCCATTTGCAGTGCTGTCCATTATTATTCTACAAAGCAGTTGGATTGCCAGATCTTTCCATTAACACACCTAAGACCATATAATGTGCTTCCCATTACATTCGTGAAATGTACTTTTCTCAGATCTCTGACTGTTGTCCTGCCAGAATTTATTGAGTAGGTGGTGCATGCGTGCAGGGTGTTCATCCATTATCCTTTTGTATCCTACAGTACAGCAGCAGACATGACCTCCCCTTCATTCTCTGAATTTAGTCTTGGCCTTGGCTTGGGGTGACTAATGCCTGTCTCTTGGCTGGCACCTTGCATTGTTCACATCTTATTCAGGTATTAGCTGAAAGATTAACATTTCTGATGACATGAAGATCCCTAAGCAATAAAAAAAAACTGGAGACAAAACATTTTAATGACTTAAAATGTGAAATGTGGTAGGTAGAAATAGGACTAGTCTCTCTGTGGTTGTAGATATGCGTTCAAGTTGCATAGTTCAAGTTCAACAGAAAACACCGGCTATATGGGATTTTTTTTTTTACTTTCCAAGACAAGATTTCTCTGTGTAACAGTCCTGACTGTCCTGTAAATTTCTTTGTAGACCAGGCTGACCTCTAACTCACAGAGATCCACCTGCCTCTGCCTACCAAGTTCTAGGATTAAAGGCCTGTGCCACCATTGCCCAGCAAAAGGAGAGTACCAGAATCTTAGCTGGGAGTTTTGGTTTGTATTAAGACCATCTTACAGTTTACCTCTGGCTATCCTGGAACTCACTACGTAGATCAGGTTGACCTTGAACTCACAGGTACCTGCTTGCTTCTGCCTCTGAAATGCTGGGATTAAAGGCGTGAGTCACCATGCCCAGCAACTATATGTTTTTAAAGGATATTTTTTTCCTATTTCTTCTAGGCAGTTTATGACTTGAACTCCTGCCCAGGCAGGGACCTAAGGCCTTTAAAACCTCCTGTAAAACCAAACAGAATAATTAGGCTTGTGACAAAATGGAAACTTCTTAGAAGTATCCTTTGAAAACGTAAGGCTGTGTAGAACAAATGAAGATCATCTCTGCAGGCATGCTCTACACTGGTGGATTATAATGGCAGTTATCATTGGGCTCTCCTTGTCCCTGTGACACATTTACACCTCTGTGAGGTATCTACATAATAAAAAAGCAGCTGGCCTCCTATAAAAAAAAAAAAAAAACCAAAGAAACAAAACCAGGCAGAATATAAACAGCTGTGATTATGTCTGACTTTATGGCATCCGTGAAGGCTACTTTTCCTTTTCTTGTGTTTTGATGTGCTTTCATCAGTTTTTATGACAAGCTATATAAAGCTGCACTGAATGACATCCCAGCCAAATTGTCCAGAGGGCATGTAAACAAACTGTGCCCCAAAGTATGTCTTCAAGGAGAACAAGTTCCTGACCCTTCCCTTTTTCTCATTTTATCTCCTCTGAGGTAGCAGAGATGAAGGGTAGAAAAGAACCTCATATTGTTATGAAGATAGTTATTCAAGGAGTGAGAAAAATAGATGGGAAAACATTTGTTATGGCTAATTATATTTGTTATATTTCTTTATTTTGTGGAGGTTATGGGTAGTGGTGAGGGTTGAGGGGAAATTGTATGCCACAGCTCCTATGTAGTCAAAAGGCAACCTATGAATGGAACCTGTGATTCTTTCTGTCCACAATGGGGATTCTGGGGATTGAACCCAGGTCTATAGGTTTGGCAGCAATCACTGTTGCTTACTGAGCCATCTCACTGGACCCTTGGTATGGCTTTGCTTTTTTTTTTTTTTTTTTTTTGGTAGTCAAGCTAAACTTTGCAATTATCGAGCACTTTGTCCTCTAGTTTTAATTGATTTATAGAATAAATAATAATAATAATAATAATAATAATAATAATAAAAGGGAGACCACCACCACTAAGTTCATAATGCAAGCTTTTACTTACAACCAGGCCAACATACTGAGAAGCCCATGTCAGGTTTTTAATTCCACAGATCATGTGCCAGCAATTTGCAAGTTTCAAACTATTCTCCCCAACCAGAAATATCAGTTGTGTTTCCACAATAAAAGATTTGAGAACCATCTACTAATTGTTTCACTGTGCCTTCTGGGTTTACTTTTAAGATGAAACAATTTTAGATGATTATTTCTGTGGTGAGTGTACTTTTTAAAAAATACAAATTCTATATGTTGAACACAAGATTTGCTTTTTTAAAAATTGAGATTGACTTTTAAGAGTTTTGGTGAAGGGTTGGTACCAAAAGCATCTGGATGCATGCCTTGTGTGTATTGGCTTATTGATGTGAAATTTTGTCATGACTCAGTTTACCACTGTAAACTCTTCATAGGATGTCACTGATTTTATCAGTCAGTTGTTCATGCAGCTGGGAACTGTGGGAATATATGATTTGACACATCTGAGGAACAAACTGGGTGAGCACAACTGAAATATCTTTATATTCATTGCTAAACCAGCCTTTTCTTGTGCTGTTGTCTTAGTAAATCAGAGCCTATTTATTCTTCAGAAAAAGGAGAATGCAGATTGTTGTTATCCTGTGCATGCTTGCTTGAGCTTGCTTTTCTGCTACCTTTAACTTCTTTGATGTTCTGTGGAACTTTCCATCTCGTGTGCTCTGATTGCACCATCAAATCCCAAGTGTCATATTATAGCCTTAGTAGACATGAGCCCAAAAAGGAGAAGAGCCTCCTGGCAAAGATTGGCTAACATGTAATTCACATTTGTATAGTAACTAAGCTGTCCTAGGTTTTTTTCTTCTTTTCCCCCAAAGACTCCCTCAAGGAAGAAGCATGTGTAGCATGTACACTAGTACCAAGACATCTGTGTAAGACGTTAGAATAGGTAGGAGACACATGCTATGTGTCTAAGCTGCTCAAATGAATTGGCATACTGATCACTCACCACCAAGTTGTCAGTCATCATTTTGAAAGCAGCTTCTACTAAGAGCATAGAATGTTGACTGGGAAAAGACAGATCCCTTTGGTTCATTCCCTTCATAGTTTAACAATAAATATTTACATTATTGTTCATATAGGATTTGATGGGAATAATGGATGATGAGCAAATAAAAATGATGGAATGTCTTACCCGTCTTTGTGTTTTAAAATAACATTGTTTCTTCTCGTCCTTCCTCCTTTTCTTTGTTGCTAAGTCCTAAAAATCAGGTGGAAAAAGAAATGAGAACAGATTGGGAAAGCACCACCATCACTCTGTAGCCACATTTCCCAGGCTTTGGAATGGGTTCCTACCAGTCCATATTACCAGGAACTGCTTCTAGACTCTTCCTGCATCCCCCTAAAATTTAGAGAGTGTGAGGCATTCTCTAAAACCAGCTCAGTATGAGCCCAACTGACAGAAGTAAGCTGTGCATTTTTTGTTCTTCATGAAACTGGATGAGTAGAGATTATGTTAGTTTTCTTTAGTTGGAAACTGCACAGAATTTTTAATATATCAAGTGGTGAGACAAAGATTGAATGGGAAACCACGATAAAGTAGATCTACAGGTTTCCCAATGAAATTCTGCTCTAAGTCTCTTCAACCTTTCTTCTACTTTCGGGGAGACATCAGCCAGTAGGAAAGTTCCGCCCTGGTCTTTGCTTCATAAGTGGGGTATATACCTTGGAACCTACACACACATCGAAGCAGCATTAGAGGACTATATTTAGATATGTAGCAGACACATGCTATGGGCCTAAGCTGCTAGAACTTAGCTTGTTGCCTTAGTATACTTTAAAGTCACATTAGCCTTTCAGAGAAACAGTCACTTGCCTATGCATCTGCTTTGCAAGCATGTTGCATGTATGCATAATGCATGTTTTTTTTTCAGTATTGACCTCAATAGCTACCAACACCTAATATATTAGTGCTCGTATTGCTTTTTTTAATTTAACAAAGATTACTGTGATAAAGTGTTAAGAGATGGTATATGATCTTTGTTGGTATGTAACCCTAGTTTTTGTTTTGTAGTTATTAAATAGATCGTCTGTTGAGAGGCTCTTTTAATACCACAGCCAAGAATAGACTTTGGTTTAAGAGGCAAAGAGCTGAATCTACCTCTAGCAGCTAGCAGAGGCCATGGCAGCTACAGTCCCTTCTGGAGTTTGTTTGCATGTAAAATGCAGAGGAGTCCTGGCGACCTACCTCCAAGGCAGCTGCCATCCTGAACGTTTCCTTGGAAAAAAGTAATCACCACTGTGGAATGTGAACAACCAGAACCTTCACAGAATAAAGGGAAAACACTGTGGACAAGCTGAAGCCTCAGGGGCTTCAGCATTTAGTGTTTTCATAAGAGGAACGATTTATAACACATCAAGTGTTTTTTCTTTCTTTTCTTAGTTGAATACTGTCATGTTAAAATGGTTTCTTCAAACTAGACAGGGTTTGGGTTTTGGGTTTGGGGATCTTTTTTCTGTGTTCTGTCACAGTGCAAATTTACTCACTCTTCCTTGGTGCTTTCGCTTTCTCTAATTTCCTCTAGTAAGTAAGTCCCACACCTAATGTAGAAGAAAAGAAGGCTTTGAGATGACTTAAAGTAGACATATGCTAACTACTGGAGGGAAGATGGTCCCATGCAAGGCATGTACAAGGAGGAAAGATGCTTTCTTAGCCAAATACTGAAAGGTGTATCTTTTTGTAGACAGTGGTTTTGCAGCACCCCTAGCCATAAAGATGATGTGGCTAATAGCTTTCTCTTTCTCTTGTTTTTCTCTTCTCTTTTTCTCTTCTGCTTCTTCATTTGTTTTCTAAATTAGGTGCTAGCTTTTTGCTAAGTTGACTTGCTATGAGTCTGAAAGCCCTATAAAAGTGATGGGACTAATTTCCTTTTACCGATAGCATTGCTTAGTCTCTTCTAAAGTTCAAGGTCATGTAATTTCTGACTGTATAATGACACTCCATAATCTTTCAAAACTCAGAAGTTCCCTGGGGCTAAAAAAGAAAAGAAAAGCCATCTCAACCAAGTAAATGATATTTCAATCCACCTTTGTGAAGTTTTTCTGATGCATTCCAGCACATAAGCATCTTGAGGGTTGGTTTGGTGGGGTGGAGTGTGTATTGCATTGGCTGTCACCGAAGACTTAGGTGAGTGCCTTTCCAATTTAGGTTTCCTACCACTGAGCACACTCACTTCCTTACTTTAAACCAGAGTTCTTTCACTCAGCGGGTAACATTAACTTGTCTTTCCCCTGTGGAGTCCCACACACCGAGAATCAAGCTTTTGAACTGAAGCATAAACCCCAAAGAAATCCCCTGTGAAATTGACTTTCCTTAATTGTACTATTGTTCAACCTGATTGCTATCTTCTAGCTCTTTCCTGCTGAGCAGTGGAGTCATTTCCTTCTCACTGGGTTTAGAACTGACTTAGAAGATCTAAATGGTGCACGTGTACATAATCCATATTACCCACCCTGCTTTTCTATTATGGCTGGGTAAACTCAGAAGATTTATACTCTGTGAGTCATGATGATGGCTTTATCTATAAAAGAAAGTGATTAATTTGGCTTACATTTTTAGATGGCTACAGTCCATGATGATGGAGTGAAAGAATGGCCTAGAGGTCCACAGCCTCTAGGCAGAGAGAGCTAACTGAGAGAGAATTGTGGAGTCATCTGAATCCTCTCAACTCACCTCTAGTGAGTGACACACCTCCTCTAACAAGGCCATATGTCCTAATCCTTCCCAAACAGTGGGGAACAAAGTATTTAAGCTCATGAGCCTCTGGGAGTGGGACATCCTCATTCAAACCAACGCACAAAGTACCACTTTTCTGGGGTTCTGGGAACACTGGCCTAGGTTGGCGCTATAGCGTGAGTTCTGTGTTACAGGAAATATTTTCACGTTTCCTTCTTTCAGAGCCCTCAGAGAGTTATGTATTTTAAAGCTGATTTTCAAGGTCTAAAAATATTGTTGTCTATACACAGAGATGTATTTTCTAGGAGTAATTCTTATCTTTCTCTGTGTAATTTGGTTTCTAAATGATCATGTGAGCAAATGAGGAGACCCGAAATTGTAGATATGTGCCAGACGGGCTCACAGTACACTAATGCTTAGCATTGTTTGTTAGAATTGCCTGTTTGTTTTCCCTTCTGCTCTGTAAGAGAAGGGGTTATTGACTGTGTTACAAAATACTGTATTCTGTGTATATCATGCAATATTTGTCAAATAACATGAAAATAATGGGTTGAATAAATAATTTTGTATGAAAGAAGATTAAAAGAAATAACCTTGTTGTGGTATTTTTTTATTGATATTTCCCAAATGTTCTTACCTTTGTGTCCTTAGAGGCTATGGCAGGCCTTCAAGTCATTTGTTAAGTGACTTAATAGAAAAGAGATCAGATTCACTTGTGTGTGTGTGTGTGTGTTTACTTATGTCTTAAATTTCTTGAGATTATGAAACCAAAAAAGGCTCTAAACTGAAAATAGCAAAGTTCTAGCTTTTGGAGCTTCAACTCAATTAGTGGCCTAGGAAAAGAGAGATTTTTGTGTCTGTGGCAGTTCCTATTTTAACTAGCCTGGAACAGAATAGGATATGCCCTATCTCTGCTGAGCCTATGAAGGACTTGGAACTAATTAACAGTTTAATGAGATTTTATGTTTTCTTCCAACCTCACAGTTGAGACTTTGTGAACAAGGCACTGAGAATGAACTAACCACTTTGCTTCATTGTAAATGGTAGTTTCTTACCTATTTCTGAAATTTCTTGATCTTAAATGAAGTGTCTTCAGCATAGGTAACAATCAAATTTAATGTCTTCAATTTTTATATTTGAATCTAAATGCTGATATTTCCCATTTAAAATGTATGATTACTTTGATTACAACTTCCTGGCAGCTTTACATTTGATTAGAATTCAACTTTTTAAATAAACTGTTTAGTTTGTTAATAGGCAGAATGCCGATGCTTATTCTTGGAACAGAATTAGGGAAGTTGACTTTCTGAGAAAGCTATGGTAAACTGGAGGGATTTAGCCAAATGTGGATTTGGTCATCTTGTTGCTTCTTAACATTTTTTTCACACAGTAAACATAGCAGCAAATGAAGTGGTTTACTTTGCTTTGAGGTCACTGTCTCCAGGGGAGGGAAAGAAAGGGAAAAAGTTGAGTAACCTTCCCTGGTTTTTAGTGTTACTCAGATGTCATATATCTCCATATACATGTTTATCATTCAATTCTCAACCATCTCTGAGTTTCTGCTCTGTGAAATAGTTAATCAACTTGAAGGATAAGTCTTCCAGATCCAGGTTTTTATTTATTTTATGACTCGTATAGACATCTTTTAATACTGCATGAGTGGATCACTATAGTAGTGTTATAATGTGTATGAGATGTTAAATGATTGAATGAGCAGTGTATATTATAAGAAGAAGTTTCAGATGCAATCATTAAATAATGAAAGAAAGTCACTATCAGAGTCCTGTTTCCAAAAAACAATTCTGATGTGTTGCTGCCTAAATTGGCATTACAGGAGCCTCTGGAGTGCTGTGACTTAGGTGTGCACCACTGCCAGTCTTTTAAATAAAGAAACAGCTCTGTTGACTATTTGAAATTAAGTATAAGATGTCTGAATGCATAGATAAAATGTTAAACACATTTGTTACCTATATGTCCATGAGTAACAGCAACAGATCATGGCTTAGTTGCCTTTACAATTGTTTATATGTGCTTATATTGTTATTTCCAGGGAGTTTTTTTTTAAGTATTTCAAATCGTTTAAGCTTTAGCATTATTTTAATCCTCCCTAGCAATCAAGCAAAGTAGGATCAGTCATAGCTATCTTGCCCATTTCAGTTGAAAACAGAGAGAGTCTTCCTAATGGTAACTTCCTCAAAGCTTCATGAATGATAAGTAACAGAACTGGACTTTCAGAAACAAAACTCTTGGTTGTTGGTGTCTCTTGACCAGTGAACTATGTGAAATAAGCATTCAAATATTTGCTGTAAAGTATATCCAGAGAAGCAATGGAAGGATATTTAATTACAAAAAAAACCACAACAACAAAAATACAAACCTTTAAAGTATCAAAGCAGTAAAAAAAAGTTATAGGTTAAATAGCTTAATTTATAAAATATCCCCATGAAGTCAGTATTGCTAGGTTAGAGCTAGGAAAGTTGATGAAACTTTGTTGGTGAGGTGGGGGTGGGAGATTACGGAAGGACTTTGGAGAATATATGACAAATTAATAGGAACCTTGAAGAAGAAGAGCTCCTGCACAGCAGGTCTCTGAACTTTTAAGTGCTACATGTTGAAAGGCCTATGAATTGTAACAAATTCTCTGTTGCAGCAGGAATTGGCAAACATGAGTGGAAACTTAAATTGTCTCATCTATGCAAGTCAGTCTCCAGAGACCAATGTTGATACAAATGAAAAAAATTCTTTGGGAGGAAAAACTGACTACACTTACTGTGGAATAATGTGGCCAAAATTTCAGCCTCTTAGTCCTCATAAACATTAAGAGTTCACTGTAGCTGGAAGAGACCCTGGGAACTTTCAAATCAAGGAAATAAAGACTTCCTCTGGGGAGGGCAGTCAGGTTAAGGTTTCTAGTGCTTGACCTTTGAGCTAACCTTATCAATGCTGCATTTCTACCCCTTAGAGCTACACTGGACAGGTCTGCCCTATCTGTGCCACCATGCCCTGCCTGTCACAAGGTGACTTCAGGTTAACCAAAGTAAAAGAGCAGATTCCTCAGCTACAGAATACTATAAAATACAAGTTTAAAACAGAAAATGATTCCATGAATTTAGTACATCAGAAGTGACTGCAAACGCCAGTTTTACTCTATTTGTCGAAATTGAGTTACAATGACCCACTTGTATGTTTTTAAAAATTACTCCTATGTACACAAATTAAAGTGTCTGCAGTAACAGTTATTTACCAGACTTTGCTAATCTTGCCTAGACCCACAGAAATTTCAGGGAAATGTTTGGGACTGCTAGGTAAACCTGGATTCACAGCATAAACAGGCTTGCAGAAGAGTGGGCATTTCAGAAGACACACTGTTTTATTTCTGGGCTCTTGGATGACTTGGCATTACAACTCTGCTATTAATTATTAATTCCTTACCTTTTCTGAATTTTGTAAGTCCATGTTGAAATCAGTCTTAATAAGGCTCTTTCTTTGTTGTTCATTTTTTGCTTATTCACTCATTCAATAATTATTCGCTTCCTCCTGTCAGGCAGCTTCCTAGATAGTAAATAAACAAAAATCTGATTTTCCCAATGCTTATGTCTTTTGGGGAAGAATAAACATAGAGGTTTCCTGAGGGAGAGAGCACAAACACAGTCAGTGGAATGGAGTCTCTTATTATCAACTCCAGTTTACTAGTGGAAGCACAGATGGAAGACACTGACACAGGATCATACAGGCCCACAGCAGCAGAGCTGGAGTCTATCTAGACATTCCAAGCCTCCCAGGGCTTAGGTATCTTTCACCTCTGCTCTGCAGTAATGGGCCCTTGGCAAGAATAGCAAAGAACTGGAAATGGTCATGAGCCACAGTGTGAAGCTCTCCTGAGTCAGCTAATCTGGTGTTTACAGAACATCCAGTGGGTTAAAAACCAAATGAACAACAAAGGAGTGTTAGCTGTGACCTCCACCTAGCCTCACTCTTTGCAGGACCACCTTTACTACAGAAAGAAATAGCTCTCCTTGTCTCAAAACGTTATGGTGAGGTTGGGATAACACAGAGTGATGCATCATTGAGAATTTAGCCTTTTTTATTTTTTTCTGTAGTTCCTGGATTCTGTCCTCTGTGTCATTGACCACTCTAGCTGTTTGTGAAAGAGCAGTGTATGAAGAAACACGGCTTGATATAGGGAACAGTGTTTGGTTGTTAGAGTGGTTGGTATTAAATTCTAATTTAACAAAGTTCTTAGATCTTTTATTTCTGCCCTCAGATATTTTGATGTTATCTTGGAACCCTAGGATGGATAAGGAATCTGAACAGCTTTTAAGAAAAGAGGGGGTTTCTGATTTTGTAATGGAAAAGCGGCTGTGTGAAATGTATCAACGCTTCCCAGGAGTCCAAGAAAACTGGCTTGCAGTATGAGGCACATTCCCCAGTTTTCCCGAACCTTGGTTGCCTCCCCTTTTCTTATAGAACTTATTAATCATGCAAAATGTTATTAGTTAATAAAAATGTTCTCAATTTTTATATTGAAACTGTTTAGCCTTCTTTCTTTTTACTTTCCTATTATACTGCTGTAAACATTTACTGGAATATTGCTGTAGAGAGAGAGGGAGATGGAGACAGGGAGTGAAAGATATGACTATAAGGAAAACTTCAGGGCTTTTGAAACATTTCAGTCAGCAATGGCCCTCCAAGGCCTACCTGGTCTGTCTTAGCAAATGAGAGAAGACTAATGAATAGGACCAAATTCTAAAACCGAAAAGAAATACATGATTAAGGTCTAAGGAATTTAGGGTTTATTGTATAAGGTCACCAATATTTATTGATAAGAACTTTTATGTAGTTTAGTAGGGCTGTCTCTTGATTTGGCCAGGATCTTGTAAGTACATTGTGTGTTGGAAATAATTATGTCAAAATGTTTTTTATTAAACTCAACCTCTCAAGCTGTGTGTCAGAGTCAGCAGATTCAATAAATTTTGATACTGTATAGTCTAAAGCGTTTGTATTTGTCCATTTGGTGACAAGTTTATCAATTTATACTGGATCTCAGAGTCCCCGTGTTATACTTTTGGGTGTCTTTTTTTTCTGGTATCCTTGTTTTACAGATAAATATGGCTTAATAGAATCTCCTTCAAATTTCTGCAAGTTAAACCTATGCCCATGCCTTTCTTCTTTCTGCCTGCCTCCTTCCTTGCTCATTCTGGTCATATTCTTCTCCTTGATGAGCTGTCATTGCATGAAAGTAACGGGGTTGTAGAGCCAATGTGTCTGAATTCAAACCTGGGCCTGTCACTGCATAGCATTCTTTCATGGAAACGTGCAACGAGTCATATTACTGAAATAAAGTGGACACAACAATTAAGTACGTCATAATGGGCATATTCTAATACATCAGGAGATTAACAGCAAAAGAGGATTTAGTTTAGCTACCCAGGAAGTATTTGCCATCTGCTCTTATAGTCTACTGATGGGAGCCTCTTCTGACAATAAAGCAGAGGAGGAAACTGTTCCTGCCAGGTAACAGCTCTGTGGCCACAGGAGGAATGATGACTCTCCCTGAATGGTCATCGGAAATCCAGGATCGTTTATTAT